CAAATCTCACATCTAATTTTTAAAACAATGCATACATTTCCTGTTTATTAGACCACACACAAACCAAACTTTCTATCCAAAAGAAGCTAGGATACTAAATAAATTTCATTTTATGCTTTGTTATTTTACCTCAAGTACATGGAAAGTGAATTGCTGATATCTGCTGTATTTGGAGAGGACTTGTTTAAGTCATGTTTAAGAGAGACTGTCTTTACCACAGGGCATTTTAGAATACAGGATATAAGCCTGCAGTTCGAGAATTTTTAGCAAGAGAAAGGACTATAGATTTTTTCACATTGATTTGATTACTAAATATTTTCAGTGAACATTTATGAAAAGTACATTCTAAGAGTAATGACATAAGAAATTTTTAAAAATATTATTTTCCTAATATTTAATAGAGTGATAAATGGGTTCGCATTTCCACTCCTATGACCCATGTGCTCAGAAGTAACCTATGTACAGCAATTCATATATTACAAACAAGGCCTCAGAAGTGCACTGAGTGTGTCTACTTTATTGAAACTACAAAAAGTTGAGAATACCTGCTCACTTTATTTTTTTTTAGTGAGTGACCTGATTTAATGGCCAATCACTATTTCATCTGTAAACCTTATTCAGTAGGGAACTGTGAGAATTATACAGAAAGAAAAGAAATGGAAACTTTCACACATAATGTAAGACTCTACAAGTAGTCATTGATCATTTAACGTAAGATAAAGCTGATAGAAAATTAGAAAAGAGTCTGTCTTTTCACAAACATGAAAAATTACTCCGATGAAGTTGGGGTTTTGGGGGGGTTGTTTGTGTTTTAGTAGTTTTTGGCTGACTTTGCCTCAGTTTACTTTATTTTAAAAGAAATTGAATTTGTTTATTAAGTCTGAGTTTTTTAATTTCAGTAATTTCAAAACTCATTAAATCTAATAATGGTAGTGTCAGGGGTATTTTTCATGCTTTGCTTTATTTTTTCTGTATAATCAGTAGTATTACAATAAACTAGGAAGGAGGGAAGAGGCAGAAGGAAGGGGAGGGAATGGGGAAAAAAAACCAAGATACATCATGTACAGGTAACAGATTCCCCGTGATGAATGGGATCCCAATGTATACCTAAAATTTATCAATAAACTTAAGGAATAAATAGACCAATAAACTAATGTTTGAGCCCGAAAGTGTGCTCCCTGTTAACAGAGACAGTGAAATCTTTGCTCTTTTCTTCATATTTAGCAAAATCAAACAGTTCATATGAATTCATCTCAGAATTTGTGACAGTTCTTTTATGTATTCTTTTTAGCAACTTACAAAACTAAAGAGATAAAGCCTCAAACGTAGCTAATCATTGAAATGTAGAACAAATGCACATTAACTTGCAAGAAAGACAGTAAAGTTTGGCAGCGGCCTTTTCTACACAGCTCATTCCAGGTGCTGGGATGGATTTGAAACAGAAGATTTTCCTTCACATTGTACTCACCGCATACACGGAGAATTGCACGTTTTGAAAATCACAGAAGGCTTTTACAAACTACTGTCGCAATACAGAAACAGGACTCTCGCCTGGTATTGAGAGGAAGTTTTGCCCTTCTTCTCTTAATTTCCTGCCTGTTGGGTTTCTATTTGGCTTTGGCCCTGGGAGGACAGAATCCCCAGCGTTTTGTGAACAGTGGGTGTCATTAAAACCACCCAAGAGGGGACTGAGGAATTCATGGCTCAGACACTTTACAAAGTGTGGTAGATGACATATTTAGGCTTCTCACAACCTTAGAGAGAAATTATCACAGGTGTTCCTGTTTTACCCAGGTTTTCGTCAAGGAAGACCTGAACTGTTAATGGTCAATGCTGTTCACGTGCACAATCATAATCTGTTTAACTTAATTCTGTGTAAATATTATAGATTATATATTATATATAATTTTAAAAGCCTCCAGTTCTATTTGGTGCTGGTAATATGATTCTGTAAATGTACTATTACTGGTAGTAGTTAGAGAAAATATATGCACAGTTCAATGTGAGACAACCCAAAGGAAAGGGGCAGAATTTCTAAACAGAATTTCAAGTGTCCATGTTTGTACACCCACCCAAGTGTGTTTTCATATAATAGAGTGCATTTCAATATTAAGGGTAATTTACCTAGTTAGGACAGCTAGAGAAATATCAAGTTCAACATTTTTGTTACTATATTACTTGAGCACCAAAGCAAGTTGGACAATGAAGGCTCAGGCTCCTCTACACAGCCTTCAAGTTCTCTCTTCTGTACAGGTGGATCTCAGTGTCCTTAGAGAGACGCTGACCCAGGACTTCTCAATGAACCCCCCAAAGGAGAGGATGCTGTCATGTTCCTTCCAGAACTCTGTAAGGGTTAAATCTGTATCTGAGACTATCTGGGAGAACAAGCAGCTGACATTCAGGTCATAACTCAAGACTTTGGTTGCATAGTCAAAACTAAAATCCAGTCATAACCCACTGTTTGTAGGTCAGGCTGGTCATAACTTGAGGGTCCAATGTTTATCTCATATAATGTAGCTTTATTGTTAAAGTACCGATTTTTTACTCGTTTTCTTATTTTTAAAAATAAAACCTGCCACCAGCCTCTGTACTTTCCACTAGAATTCAAACAAGAATAATTTCTTTTTCTTCTAGAAGCAACTAGCTTTTTGTTTGTTTTCAAAATGTAATAATGTATGCTTGTGGGCATGAGACCAAGGAAAATAATTTTCAGGAAATATCACTTCCTCTCACATACATACTTATGTAATTATGCTACCTTTCTTCTCCTGGGAAACCAGTTCTTCAGTTTGTAGGATGTATGTTGTAAAAGAATATAGAAATGGCTCTACTTGTTGTTCTCATTATCAGTTATCTTGCCTGTATAATATTTCTTATGCTTCATCTTCTAGATATAATATATTCAATGCTCTTAAAAAATGTGAGACTTCAATAAATAATATTTACTTATCATGATTATTTTGTTTATATCAATCTAAAACTTTCACTTAACTGCACTTATCTGAGTATCTCATATAAATAAATAGTAACTGTACTGTACATGACCTGTAAAATCTTCTTTCAATAGTATATTTAATAGTTTTGAAAACTTATAAAGGGCTAAACAAGTGTTAAATACTGATGCTGATATTTTATTTTGAAAATTGAACTTTTATAATATTTTCTTGAATTATTATCTAATGCAGTATACATTTCAATGTGGTACTTTTATCTTCACTGATATAGATATTGGTACCATTTCCTGAAATGGCCATGGCTGCTACTAAAAGAAAAAACACTTTAATATAGCCTTCCATATAAAAATTTCAGTTATTACAATCTGAGTTGTCAGCTACGTCCTTTTGCTATTTAGTCTAGTTTGCTCTGGTTATTTCAATATTTAAATCAAACTTCAAAAATTCACTATCATTTTATTTATAAATTTAGGCACTATAGAGAACTACTTGCATATAGGAAAATTTGTGGCAATTTCAGAAGAAATCAGAATGAAACAGGCAGATTTGTCAGGTTGAGTTCATGAAGATACACTTCTGTATATAATTTAAATGGAACAAATATCACTGGATTCACAGGATTTCCTGACTCAAGTACAAAGCACAGGTTGTCTCTACTTGAAACACTATTTCTTAGAATTTTGTTTTTAAAGTGTGACAAGAATGATGGAAAATTCAGAATTTTATTCTCAAAGGCCACAGAGGATAGAATAAAATCCTTTAAGAAAAGAAGGAAGAAATCTGATTGCTGAAGTTTCCCTAACTTTCTTGGATTCATCTCTTCTAAGCATAAAATCAAATTCTTCAGGGCCGAGGATTTAGCTTAGTGGTTCTGCTGCCTGCCTCACAAGCACCTGAGTTTGATCCCCTGCACCAAAAATTAATTAATTAACTAATCAATTAAGAATAAAATACAATTCTTCGGAGTAAAACTTCTTTCTTGAGGTTTCAATGGCCCTTCTGTGTGGAACAGTAATAAAATGGTGGTGTTCTATTCTGTTTTATTTCATGATTCGTGGTGAACACAGAGACAGGAAGTGGAACAACTGCTAGATCAACACTGTGAAGGG